GTAAGCAGTTCGGCGCTTGATGGCATCTCGTGTGGGTGACGGTCAGACTGTTGTAGAACGGGGAGTGGAGTGATCAATGCTGTCAGTCTGATACTGCCGGTGTTGTGTGGAGCTGGATGCGAAAGACAACCACTGTTCTACACCTAATGAAGACGTGAGCAAATCGCCGAAAATAACTACGGTTCGGCAGCTGACCAGGTTAGAGAGACGAAGGCACATAGTGCGGTGAAGATTAAAACTTGCATGAACTGTAAGTTATGCCGAAAAGTTAGCTCTTTACTAGTATGAATTGTCAGTCTCCCTTCTCAATCCTTTGATTACAATTTGACAACAAGCACCCGTACTACATGGCACATCGAAATCTCCTGATTAGTTCCGAGCCTAATTATATACGTCGCAACCGTGACGTGGACGGTCATATAGGAATTCTCTTCGGCAGAGACAGCATTCGAAGGCGGTTGGGTTATGTACATGTAATAGATCCACTCGACGTCGTTCCGCGGACGGTCAATTTTGACTACATGTTTTAATGCAATTGGTTTACTGAAAAATGTGTGTGTGTGTGTTTTTTTTTTTTTTTTAGCTAGAGCACTCGATCCCTTGCCGCCTCACCGGGTTTGCAGTACTACTACTACTAAAGGCGACATTCGCCCTATCGAACGCGAAAAAATACTCATGTCACTGCTACATAGATACAGAAAACTTAAGCTGGGTGATAATAATCAATACTACTTGGAAACGCCTACAGAAACTACTTGGAAACGCCTACAGAAGCTCAATCACCTTTATAATTCGCAGTTCATACTTTTACTGGTAATTTTCACCGCGTACCATTTTAGGCTGGTACGCTAAAGTTATTTTCGAAAACGATGGGAAATATTTGATCTTGAAACATTTCGAGATCAGATATTTCCCAGCGTTCCCAAAAGCCATTGCTCTCATGTGCGCAATATGATTTATTATGCATTTTGAACTAATTAACTTTCACGTTCTAAATTACCTACAATAAGACTGAAATAATGTACTCCAACACTTATATTTGGAACTCAATTCAGTCCCATAATCCATATCAGGAACGCCTGTGTGTGGCGGAATTTATCAAAACATCTCTGGTTTTAAAAGTCTAATTACGTGACTGTCAACTAAACTTCCTATCTCATGGATTCAACTTGGAAAATGTCACGGGTGTATTCTTTTTGGTCTGTGTTCGTTTATCGGAGTATCAAATTAGGGTGCACACTTAGCCGCCGCTAATTTAGGTATTCGGGATAAAGGAAACTGTTGAAGTACGCTTCGCTTTTCTAGATCGCGATAAGCCTAGCTACTTCTTGTAAACGTTTTAAATATCTAATTAAAGCACCACAAAGCCAATATTGTAACGTTTTGCAGCGAGTCCACTTATGTTGCCCGGATGGTTGGGCGGTTCATACTGCGTATGCGAGTGTCCCGGGCTCGTATTTATGGCAATTGAGTACTGGAAACGTTATTGAGTTTGTACGAAGAACATCAGGGCGTGCAATTGGGTACATAGCTAGCTTCAATTCGGATACATGATCGTTGTTGGGCTGCTGGGAGATTATAATTTATATTTATAACTTCAAAGTTTATAAGTTTCTCTGTTTTTACGGATTGTACAGCCTTATCTTTCTACAGTGAAGCTATTTCTAACCACCACGTTGTTACACTGCTGTAACTGTCCACCAAATTGTAGAATTTTACCAATACTTTCACGCTGGTCGTAGGTACTCTATGAATTCCAACTTGATAAACTCACGTCGTGAAAACTTTCCAGCTAAGTGTAAGGTAATATCGCCAGCTGTATTTACTTAGAGCTGTTAGACTGCTATGTGAAAAGGTCTGCTGCAAACACGTAGATCAGGTGCTATACCCAACCACACTAAAGCCCAGCCACCAAACATTTGGTCCAAACTGATCATTGGACCTTCAATTGTATTTTATTTTGAAAATGACAAAACAGCATTGTTTGTGTACACCACATAGGGTTAAACACGGTCATCAGATGACTCATCTGGCTGTGATTTGTTCATTGGTCGCTGCGATATTTGCACAGAAAGTACGTCCACGCTGACTGGATGAAACTAATTTTAGCCAATGAGATATTATAATAGGCCAGACACGATGCGGCCAGTCTACTAAACAAAAAAAAAGTGGGCACGGTATCCCATAGTAAAAACCGCGGGAAGGGAGCTACGATTATATATATGATGTGAAGCTTGGCGCCTACTGCAGCTCCGAATTTGGTAGAGAACATCCCAACTGAATATCCGGTCATTGACGATTCTGTAGCTTTGTCAGGCTTACCTAGCATCGACCCATAGCCTATACAGTCAACTATTGAGGGGCGTTCCTAACAAGAATCACGGATCATGATCCTAAGTAGTTCAAGGTTGTTGGGATCGTGCGATCAATTCCGTTCCGTACGGTATCAATGATCTCTATCTATACTTAGGATGTTGATGTTGTTGGGGTTTTCAGAAGGTAATCACTACTGCCTCCATTGCCGCATTTCGAGATGGAGGAGGCTTCAAACAACAAGCAGCAAATCGACAGCATGCCAAAATTCCAACAGCAAGCGAGCGGCTAAACCTCTGACGTCTGATGACTACTCAACATGGAACATGGATCAGTTGAAGCTTGAATGCACAGCTCCAAAACTATCTACTGCAAAGAACACGAAGAAACAAGACCGGGTATCCATCCTTAACGTCTACGATGAGTCTAAGGACAAAACCGAGCGGTTACCCAGCAAGCAGCGCCTCGGTAAAAGATCTAATACGGAGAAATTCGGCGATCCCGTCACTGCGTATTTCGGCTGCTCAATGTGCTGTTTTCGAATGATTTCTTCGCGTGCTTCATTTCGTCCGGAGATAAGCTTTCAAAGCAAGAGCTAGACGAAGGGGGTACACAATTCTGGGAAGATGTCGCTGCAGCGTTTAATACAAGTTGTGAGACTTTTGATAGTCTCGTATTTATAGACTCATGGTTTGAAGAGATTTGCCTCGAAAAAATTACTGCGCATTCTGCTACTAAGCACAAGGCAATGTACAAACAGGTGCACTCCAATTTCTCTAAAGCCGAAGCGCGTTAAAAAAACAGTGCTGTATAGACGTTGCTGCGGTAGGCTTCTTGTGCTGCGGTGTATGCCGCGTTGAGTTCTGGGGTGCTGTACTTGCCGTTCTGGTAATAAATCGACTGCTTAGCAATGGTGATAGGGCACTGGCCAAGTAGATCCATCAACCCAGACACAGTTTTCGTGAACTTTCCGTCACAAATATCTTGAAGAAAGTCTCCAGCCATACTCCCCTTCATCGGAGCACTCATGCTCACTCACGACGTGCTATCTGCAAGTTTACACTTCCCATTGACGAGTGCGCTCGCCAGTACTAGGCCACCCATCGAGTGCGTCACAACGGTAGTGCCGGATATTGTACGTGTTGCCAAGTTACTCGTTTCGCTCATGGAAAGTGAGAAATCGCAGAACTTTTGCTGCAGCGTGTCATTCCTCCACCCGACATCAACAGTGTTGATGACCGCGTTCTTGACCGTCGTACAGCATGGGGCATAATCACCAATATCTCCGAACTTCTCCTTCGTCAACTTGGGTGTATCTTGTAATTCTGCTTTTTCATTCGGATTTCCCAGACCGTGCAAGAAAATACACGGCCGAGGAGTAGACTTGCACTCGCAAGA